AAGAGAGAGAGAGAAAAAAGAGAGAGAGAAAGAGAGAGAGAGAGAGAGAGTGAGAGATTTGTTTTTTTTGTAAGGTAAGTATTTGTAATGTGTGTCAAGATTGAAAAGGCAGGAGATAAAAGGAGTGAAAAAGATTGAGTGAAAGAGTGAAAGACAAAGAGAGAGAGAGAGAGAAAGATTTTAAACATTTAAAAAACTTAATTAAATAAAGGTGAAGGAGAAAAATAAGACACCAATGCTTGTTTTTATATGCATAATTAAATTATTCAGCTGATGACTATTCATTCATTTATTCGTTAATTCCTTCGTTCGTTCGTTCGTTCGTTCATTAGTTCGTTCGTTCGTTCATTCATTCATTCAATCAATCATAATACGTCTATCCATTATTAAGGTCACATACTTAGTCATTCACTTGTCAATTAAATTTTTTTAAATACATTTTTTTAACAAAATTGCAGATGGCTAAGACAATAACAACAACAACAACAACAACAGCAACAGCAACAACATCATCAACAACAACATCATCAACAACAACAGCAACAACATCATCAACAACAACAACAACATCAACAACAACATCATCAACAACATCAACAGCAACAACAGCAACAACAACAACAGCAACAACAACAACAGCAACAACAACAACCGTAATAACAACAATTATAACAACAATAACAATGACGTCAATATTCATAACAAAAAATCCATTCGCCTGCCAATAAAACGCTGTCCGCCCTATTGAATTAACAGTGAAATCATTTTAAATAAAGACGATATTAATAACATTGCAGTAGTGGCAATAGTAGTAGCAGTAGTAGTAGAAGTAGTAGCAGTAGCAGCAGCAGCAGTAGTAGTAGTAGTAGTAGTAGTATTAGTAATAGTATTAGCAGCAGCAGTATTAGTAGTAGTAGTAGTAGTGGCAGCAGTAGTTGTTGTTGTCGTTGCAGTTGTAGTATTAGTGTTGAAGTAGTAGTAATAGTAGAAGTTGTTGTAGTAGTAGTAGTAGCGGTAGTAGTAGTAGTAGTAGTAGTAGAAGTAGTAGTAGAATTATGGATAATATTATCATTGTTGTTATAAAAATATTTACAGATAAAAAACAATTGAAACATCTAACTTAACATTCAAGATATGTATATATGAAAATATATTCATATATATGGTTTTATATGTATTGTATATATATATATATATATTTATTTATTTATTTATTTATTTATATATATATTTATATAAAGAGAAAGAGAGACAGAGAGAGAGAAAGAGAGAGGGGGCGGGGAGAAAATAAAAGTGAGAAAGAGACAGAATAAAATTAAATTAATCATTAAGTAATGAACAAGAGAACAGAATAATTAGCTGCTTTTACTTAATAGTAATATAATATATATTTATATATATTTATATATATACTATTAAAACAATAAGCATAAATGGTAAATATTAATATAATATTGACATATGCTAACAATACTGTAACACAAATAGTCCTGGTAATGTAGTAGTAGTAGTAGTTGTTGTTGTTGTAATAGCAGTAGCAGTAGAAGGAGTAGTATTGAGGTTGTTGTAAATGAAAATTGGTTGAAATACTTTAACCTTTACATTCTAAATAATTTGCTGCATGAAAATGATGGCTTAACTGTTAAATTAGTATAAATAATGGTTATTATTATTATTATTATTATTATTATCAGTTTTACTCTTGAATATATATATATAACATATTTTATAAAAGTCCAAAAACAGAAACTTGGAGAAAGAGACAAGATAGTAATTTTTACCAACCTTACTACAGTTTACAATAGAGCAGTAATAACAATTCTAGCTAAATTTATTTCATTTTAAACATTTAATTATTTTACTAACTCATCTATTTATTAATTCATTTAATAATAATAATAACAAGGGTAATTAATTTACAAGACAAAACGAATGATGTTATATAATGTTAGATTATTCCATCAAGTGTGGTTGAGTGTACTATGCTGTTATGTAACAACAATTATGAATTAATGAATGCATGCGTGAATGAATGAATGAACGAATGAATGAATGAGTAAATGAATACATGTATGAATGAATGAATACATGTATGAATGAATGAATACATGTATGAATGAATGAATACATGTATGAATGAATGAATGAACAAACATGTGTCTCTAAAACAAAATAAACAAGTAAAAGAATAAACAATGAATGAATGAATAAATAAATGAAACAACCACTGCAGCATATGTATATGCATATATATATATATATATATATATATATATATATATACATATACATATATATATACATATATATAGACTATTGAATTTAGCCACACCCACAAAACACTAATCTACTTTTAAAAACAACTTTTTAAAAAACTCAAGTGAGAAGTTTTTTTTATTTAAGAAGTTACTTAAATAGGGCAGTTGTTTCATTTACTTTAAATTCGATTATTTATTAATTTAATTAGATAAAAATTAATTAATACTTATCTTTATTTATTTTTTATTTAATTTCTCTGTTTAAAAGATTGGACCATAAAGATAAATGACTAAACGTGGATTCAAACATTTTTAATGGAAATTTTTTTTAAAAACATGAGTGTAAAAAAAATTTAACAAACTTTTACTACGTCGTGTCAACATATTTCTCCAGTTAATAAGGACAGAATATTCAACGTTTTATTAGTTTTAACGGTTTTTTTATTTAAACAATGGATTAATATTTTTAAA